TCTCACTAGATGTATAAAATTTAAAAAACAGTCCACAATATATAATATACATACCAGGTAAGTAAACATGAAACATGAATTTTCACATGGAATTTGTATACAAAAAAAAAAATGTTTATTGTTATATAATGTTATATTATTGTATAAAAGTGATAAAATATATTTTGCTCGATGTGCATCTTTCCCACCTATTTCACAACTTAAGGATGTCATGCTAAAATACTGTTGCCCCTTTGCGACAAACCAGCCGTCCAGGTATTTTCGTACATATTCAAAAGAAATTAAACCCTGCCCAGCAAGTCAAACAAGTGGTAATCGGAAGGGCACGAGCTTGATGAATCAGCCACATGGACTAATACTTTGCAGATGAGTGCTTCCAAAGTGTCCCGTCTCCGCTGTGTGTTGCCCTTTTCCATATCGCGCTTTATTTTTGAAGAGCGAATGGTTCAAATCAATTAGTTGTTGTTGTTAGCGTATTAGTCTCACGAAACACGAAATATCGTCTTTCCGCCAAAGCGATACGCCAACATCTACCCATGAATTTTTACACTTAGGATGGCTAAAATCGAGTTTTTGTTATCTCCACTTAGAATACGATGCAAGAAAAACTTTCTTCTATTTATAGCCTTCGGCCAAAGACAAAATGCTCTCTGCGAAACCTCTCCATTTAGTACAAAACTCGATATTTTCATTCTGAGAGAACTATTTTAATTTTTCGATACACTCGATACAGATATGTTAACTCCTTTACATGTGGTGTTTTTATTGTCAAATTTTTATTCCATGTGTTTATGTCTGGTGTGCTGACCAATTAAATATTCTAAGCTGGAATCCCTAAACGGTGATCATAACTTATTGCCCGCTTACTTCCCGTGCATATCTGAGGCGTAGATCACGAAAGCGAAGGAAACCATGTTATTGTTAGATTAAATATTTTTGATATATTAATTTCTAATAATTCTATTATTATTATTATTATTATAAATTTAGCCAGAGAATAAATTCTAAAGCTAAAGTCTTAAAGCACTCGCATCTAAGGCTTTCGGCTTTATTAAAAACTCTACCGCACTTGAGATTTGAACCCACGACTATTGAGTTGCCAGTCGAGACTCTTGCCTACTCGGCCACTCAGGCGGATCTAATAATTCTAATATGTTCATATTGGAAACAAAAATCTTATGTTAGTTCACGAAAAGAACACGCTTCGTCTATTTTTTACAAAACAGATTTGCGCCAATTTTAAAATAAAAATTGGTCACAACGAGTAATTTTGAGCCATAATTCGAATACAACAGATTTCGTTTTTTAATTACTTTCTCGGCAGTGTACTATAAATAATATATCATATTATTCCTGTTTCTCACGAGCTATATACCCTTTGTTTATGGCCATATTGTTGTATTTATTGAGCTGAAAAGAAAAACCTTATATCATTCATTAGTATGTTAATGTGCTGTGCGTGTGTGTGCCTATGGCTAGACTAGCAAAATAGAAATCGGCTTCCTAATAAATAAATATTTTTGGGAAGCAACAGCTGTGTTGTGAATAAGTCCTGAACACCAAGAAGCGAAAATGGTGTGACTTATCCTATCATACCATATGCGATGCCAAAGCACTGACATTTTAACCTTCTCTACTTTGTAAAATTGGCAAGAAGTTCATGTCCAGAGGTTTTTAAAGTTCATATTGAGTGATAGGAACAACACTTTAGCCTGACTGTCTATAGCCTCCATATTTAAAGCTTTAGAATTCCGCATTCTGTAAGTTTGCAATATTGAAACAACTCAAAACACTATTAAATACCCTCCACCACCCTCTAGTACCTCGACTTTTTTAAATAAATCGTTATAAGGGAAGCGGCCACAACGAGTCCGCGTAGCAAATTTCATCAAGACAGCTTCAAAATTGCACAGTGTGAGCTGAACGCAAAAAAGAAAAACAAGATTGTCAGGGGGACCGACGGTCTAATAAACGATGGATCTATCTAATGCCTGTCTGGGTACAGGATACATCCGGATGACGAATGGTGTAATACGTAACAGGTTGCCTGTTTTAATACTGTGCATAAATAAAAAGTTTCATCATGATCCTATGTTGTTTTTAATAACATTATTTGTAAAAGTTGTAATAATTTTTTGAAATCAATAAAAACGTTACTCTAAGATGTGGTTTTCCCATTCACTTTGCATATCAAGAAATACCTCTGCTTTTGTTATGAAAATTTATCTGATACTAATGAAGACATTAACACATTATGATAAGCAGACTCGCTTATATAGAATAACAACGTAAACAGAAAGACAAAACTATGGTAATGTTTACCCGCTTTTGTAGCAAGAGTGCAATTCGGTGCAAAAAATTCACCACTTATAGAAAACAGAAAGTGACGGAGAGAGGGAGAGAGAGAGAGAGAGAGAGAGAGAGAGAGAAAGCGAAGAGAGCATATGATGAGAGCGTTTCGCATTAAATGATGAGAAAACATACTATTCTTTTCTATTATGAGGAATATGATGCGAGAAATTGTTCTTTAAAAAGAAATGGTAAAGTTGGTGAAAAGCTTCCAGCTTCCATTACTTTGTAAGATGAGATAATGGAGATTCTCTATTCTTTACGAGGACTAACGAGAATGCGGAAGTTTATTACAAGCATCCCGGTGTATCTTTACAAGCAGCCGTTGGCTGCTGTCAGTCATCGCAGTTTCATCAACATCGACGGTTCAAAAAATCGCAAATACACTGCATTTTAAAAAGAATTTTTTTTTGTGTATTAATTTGCCATAAGTGAATGAAGAAATAATCTATCAACTAGCCGCTGCTGCTCTAACAATTTGTGTACCACGCATATACTCTCCTACTCTCTTCAATATTTAAACTTGAAAAGGAAATAAAAATTTACAGTGAAAAACAAGAAGGAGAAAAACAAATGCAAAAGAAGGCAAATCAACTATAAAGCATAAATTCCAGCATTATAGAAGTTTTTAAAATTCGATTCAACCCTATACCTAAAATAATGGATTTTGTTGATTGATTGATTAAGACGGCTGACGTCTTGTTCGTTGTTCGTTATTTGTTTTTGTTATTTTAGGGTAAATAATGATTTTTTCTTGGTAGAAGGAAAACAGGTGATGGAATTTTTAATATCAGTCATTTTTGTTTTGTGCTTTCTTGTTTAAGTGATGGATTATTTTAGAGATAATCAATAAATAAAAGAAAAAATTTTTGATAGAATATAAAATGAAGAATAAATAACCGGAATATATCGCTTAATGGCTATAGCTACCGTTTGGTTTAGTAAAAAACAGCATATTATTAAAATTCCGTTTTTAATAACTCAACTCAGATATCATAATTTTAGATTTGTGCTTTATACTCGTCATTTTATTGTAGACAGACAGAGGTGTCATTATATTTCATTGTACGAGAAAAGATTGTGATTCATGAATTGTTTATGCAAGTGACAGAATTCGGTCAGTTGGTCGTTGACGTGTTTTCGTTGTCACATGTTACGCATAATTAATGATTATGTTACAGCAACAAATACAAATTTTTCTCTTGAATTTAAATCACCCTCTCGGTACGTGAACATATACTTAACATATAGACAAATATGAACGTATTTATTAAATAGTAGATATATATATATATATATATATATATATATATGTGTATATATGTATATATGTATATATATATACATAAAAGTTAGGAACTGCATAGATGCCATTCCCACCGTCCAATACAACGTAGATATGTTTTAAAAGTAATTAGCTTTAGCGAAAGAGCATATTGAGTGCATTTCCGTTTCCTATAGCTCGCATATATTTGTGTAAATTTGTACATTTGTTAAGTGAAAAGTTATGTTTTATTATTATTGTTTTTGCCAGCTTCTCTCCTTCTCTCTCGCTCACTCTCCCTTCTGTTTCTCTCTCTCTCTCTCTCTCTCTCTTCTATTCTCTATTCTTCTTCTTCCCTTCTTTCTCTTCACTATGCAAAAAATTTTAATTCAATTGAAAATGTTTTAGAATCGAGAATGTGAGCACATGAGCTGTAGAAGCGGAGAGTGAGAGAGCGAATGGTTAGCTGAGGTGAGTGGAATGGTTTGATAGAGGTGGGAAAGAAAGAGAGGGAGATAGAGAAGAAGAAAGCACGCATCAGATAAATAGCAAAACTAGGAAAATGGCAATGAATTCGAATGAATTTCTTTGCTTTTCCTTCATTAATGATAACCGCAATGGAATTAAGTAAATAATTGATGTTTTCTTATCAACTTATGCGTTAATTAGTGAATCGCGTCACATACTCACTTTCGTTCACGTTATTGTTTAAAAGTGTGATGGATAATACAGCCGATGAAGAAATTCTTCCCTACCCTCAACGCTAATTTCAGGATAAAATAAATTTAAATTGAATTTAAAAAATAAACAATAAACATAACCTTAAACCAAATACCAATTATGTGTGTACATATAGTCTAGATGCACGCGTTTAACTTCGAGATATAATAAAAACGGTAAAAACAAAACATAATAAAAGAATGGGAAAAAAACGACTGTAAAAACACACACAGCGGGAAAAGTTTTCAAACTTCCGGTAAATGAGGTCGAAACACGAGCACGTGCTTGATAATGACACAGATTTGTTGTAATTAAATTTTACCGTTCAGTAACATTGCTTTAATGCTCGCTCCCCTTTGCTTGCCGCCCATCTCCGCGCTCATTCAACAACTAATTTCAAGGATAATATTTTGAAATACACGCATATTTCCTGCTCTCCCCAACTCTGCGACCTCGGTGTGAGTATAAAACGGCGTATAACTTCGTCCTCAACAGCACCAACAAGTAGCCAGACAAAAAGATAAAAAGGGATTAGAATATTACTGCGGATAACACAAGAGTAAGTTGAAAGAATTGTGTATATGTGTGAGGCAAAAGACAGAACGGAAAAAAAAGCGAATAAATACTTAAAACTCTAAACACCATATAAAAGTTTTCCACAAGTGGCAATTAAATGAAATTACCGCAGCGACAGGAATATTTCATATGTTAATTAATATGAAAGAAGGCGACAACCGAAGTAAGTTTTACGCAGCTATAGTTTTTCATAATAGTGGCCAATTGTTAACGTATATATTGCAAGAATCGGTGTGTGTGTGTGCATATGTAAGTATGTATGTATGTATGTGTGTATTCGTTCTACTTGGATGAAAATTAATTGCGAGCGCGTTGATTTTCAACATATCTGTAGATAATTACTTAATGAACTTGAATATCTTTTAGAGAAAATTTTACAAAGTCTTCAATTAAAACGACCGGATTGCTTATTTCACTACTATCGTGTTTGTTCGTCCCTTTCCAACACATAGCCTTGTTTTTAAGAAAGTTTTTTAAAAAATTCGACCTCTTGATTTTCATGAAATGCTTTATATTAACAGATGCTTAAGTTAAGCTGTCAACATTGCTTCGATTTGATTCGTGTAAGCAGTAAAATCTCTTTACTATCACTGTTTTTTTAACTGTATCGAAACAATTTTCGTTGTTTTGTCTACGGAGTTTTAGCTAGTTCTGCAACGGAACTTCGCTTAAAAAAAAACGTGAACTTCTCCCTGATGTTTTTGCTAATTTTGCTAATGTATAAATCATTTCCATTTTCAAACTCGATCTATGTTTGTCCAATAAAAAATATATATACCCCGTTCCAATTTTTGGAAGGACCAATGTGAGGCGGGCAGAAGTAAATCGACTATGAACCGTGTGGTGATCCGCATTCTACTCTATTGCGTACTTCTAGAACATATGATTAACGCATTCAGTTGTAATAATCCGTCTTGCTTCGTTTCTCTGTCTAAAATGACACCTTGAATGACATGAAGTTGATGCTGTGATATCAGCTGTCACTTTACCAGAAACACTGCTATCTGATATTGACCGTTTATATCAGTTGCGACGAAGCATACAAATTGAGCGAGAGATTTGCTTTGAAACCCGACAGTTTAACACAAATTAGAGACAGGAACGTGTCGTAAATAAGACCGACAGTCGTTAACGATGTTGGATAAGAGCGGCATGATGAGATTAATTATTTTAAAGTTTATATAGAAAGAAATAAGAAATGATTTGAAAACAACTAGGAACATACTAGGCGGCCTTATCGTTATTTAGGTAACGATTTTTCGAAAGCGTTTCAGGGGAAATGACCGAAAACGTGATCCAATCCGAACTATTTTTAATAGCGTTCTTTGTTGGGCCAAAACGAATCAGTGTACCAAATTTCAGCAAAATTCACGGCTTGCACGTTGTATGCAGCCAATACCGAACATGATTCTGAATCGATCGGCATAAAATTAAAAGATAGGTCTGTCTGAAGTCCTTTTGGGTGTTGCATACATCGTCAAGAACTTACTATACCCTCGAGCCACACAAAGGTTGATTACTTAGGTAACTTCGAACAACTTCCAGGCGGATATGTGTTTTATTGGTTGAAAAGAATCGATACAATTAATAATTGAAATCAATCCAAATGCTAAAATTTTCGACTTTTTGTTGAGTGAGGATAGTGTGCTACCATACGATCGGACATATCAAAATCTCCTCCAAATCGCAGCACGTTTGCTTCATCCCCATCTTCCAAAGGTATTCACTTTGATAGTCTTTAACGATCCGTTTGAAATCGCACTTTTTGGATTGGGTGTGTTCCATTGTGTCACTGTACGTTTGTCTTTAAAGTCCATAATTATTTCATCAATTGTTTGACATTTTGCCAGTATCGAGGCGTTTCTTAAGATTTCTAGGAACATGTCCAATATCCATACTTAATAAACGGCTGCATAGAGCACGACTTCGAACGAACGCACACATGTATATGCGTTTGCACATTCCGTATAAAATGAAAAGTAGTTGTATGATTGCTTCCTTAAAATTTTATTAAATATATTTAATACATCTATTTTTATTTCCCTCATGGAAGTCACTTCCTATCTATTCTGTACATCAATGATATCCCCTCGGCGATTAAGTTCAGCCATATCTTTAGGTACGCTGATGCTGTAAAATTGTGTTTTCCATTTAATATGAAAACGCACTCTCATCTCTGTCAGTCGGTTCTAGACAACTGAAATAAATCGCTCGAGAAATGTTATGAAATTAAATCTTAAAAAAAATACAAGAAGCTTTCCTTCTCCAGGCGGAATTCATTTTCGAGTGAGTATTTCCTCAATTCACACATATTGGAAAATATGGATTCATTTATTGATTTAGGGCACTATATGAACAAAAACTTCGTTTTAATCTGCGTATTGAACTGTCTATAGAGGTTTACAAAATGATGGTCTAGAGAGTTATGGTATAAAAAGTTTACCCATTAGCTTGGTGGGACCAATACTTGGAGATGCCTCAGTTGCATGGTCTCCTTGCTATAGCTGCAATGTTTATTCAATAGAGCCAGTTCAAAAACAATTTTGCCTTTCGACCTGAGGAATATGGGTTGGGAACTGCTTCGTTCGTTGGTTCCTTATAAAAATAGACTGCTTTTATTGGTCTTCCCTCATTAGAGAAGCGTTGATTTTTCATGCTTGATGTTTCTTTTTTAGTTAAGTTAATAAACAGTCCAATTAAGGGCGATGTATATCAATGTTCGCAATCGTGCTTCTAGAAGCTTTGCAAAATTTTCAAAGATTTGTGTAACTTAAACTCGATATCCGACTCCTGAAACTCTGTTAAAGCTACTTTCTATAACATGCAAGTTCTACCTATGTTGTCTTTAAACTAACTGTTAATTCTTACACCTTCGTATGATAAGTAAATAGAAATTAATATGTTCACTGTAATTGCTTCGAGAGTGTCCCTCTGTGCAACATGCGTACATGCTTTTTTTACTCTTGTGTACTTACACATGAATTGTGCTTTTATTTTTCGTCAAAACGTTTGCAACGCCCAGAAGGAAACATCGCAGACCCCACAAAGTATATATATTCTCGATCAGCATCACATTCTAAATCGATTTAAGCATATCCGTCTCTCCGTCTATGTAATGTCTGTTGTAAACATTCTTCTGGTCGCAATCATAAAGCGATTGACTTCAAATTTGGCAGAAACATTGGAAGTTCTTGCACGCAGGTTGTTATTGAAATGGTCGAAATAAGTCGAAGGATACGCCCATAGCACCACTTAAATAGAGAACACTTCTGTTTTTTAAAGGGAATGAGAAATTATTTTTTTTGCTCATTACTCATCAACTATAGCATATAAATGTACAAAAATTTGAAAGCATATTCTATGTGTGAACAAAATGGTAGAAATTGACCTCGTCTACCCAATATTATAGTGTATCAAAGTTTAAGTATTTTTTCGATACAATTATAACACGCAGAAACAAGCTTCAGAAACCCCATAAAGTATACAGATTATTGGCCAGTTTCAACTCTGGAATGCACCTAAAATTATGAAATATTGGTCAATATAATCATTTGGGCTCTGCTTCTTCATGGTATTCACTATTTTCAAGTTTTTCATTCTGAGACCTCCGCGTACCTCGATTTTAAGTCGATTTTTGTGGTTGCGTTTTCATTTGTAGACATTCTTCTGTCCACACAGATGAAGCTATCTGCTTCAAAATTGGCAGAAATATTGAAAGTTCGTAACCGCAGCTTGGCATGGAAAAAAGGCCAAGCTGAGGTGCTTTGAGGGTTTTTCGCTAACTACTCGTATATTCACGTACATTCTACCGAAAATGGGAAAATCAGCTACGTTTACTCAGTATCGTAAAGGCTCATCGCATAATTGATATTTTGTTTTTAATTTGTAGTAAAAACAAAACGATAAGAGATATCAACATGAAGTTGCTTTTATTTTAGAAGCTGGAGACCGCCTCTGGAGTTTTGCAAAGATTCAATTCTGAAAGACCAATTTTTAGTCACATTTACACAATAGTCTACTCTAATTTCAGCAGTAATACGAGTAGTCTTCGAAAGTAGAGGAGGCATTGAGGACTTGGGTGTTATTGCAGCAAATCAATGATTTAACATAGAAAAGTTCAATGCAATTATATCGCAGGGACTTTGTGGAAAAACTCACCACCATTTTGCACCATTTTGTTCAAGTCGCATATCGTCCAGGACCAAATTAGTTAATTTTTGATACAAAACTTTAGTTATTACGTTCCTTTAGCATTCATCATTGAGGGTAACTGTAATGTCGTTTTCATTCTCAAAAACGACATTTTAAGCCCACAAAGCACACCTAAACAAAATTTTGTGCACGTAAAGGTCCTTTATGAACCGCGTGTGTGTTTTCTTCATTTAACTATATATGAGCTTTTATCCCACATGCAAGAAACGTAACCGTGGTTTCAGCCTTTTCGTAATAAGTTCTAACAATTTCTGTGCGCTGCACAATCATGCGTGTATTATATTCCCCAAATAATGGCAAGGCCCCCAAAACAATATTGAGAAAAAATCTCTATCACAAACCTGGTTTACTTACGTTCACATTCGGAACCGCAAAACCGCTGTAGAGTGCGACAATGTAGTTTTCTCTTTTCTTTTTTTTAGCTTCTTTTAGAATAAAGCTGGTGGGTGTATAAAATGTATTCGCCCACAGCCGAACGTAGTTTTCTGACTAATTTCATTTTGCTTTGGCTTGACTGAAAAATCTGGGAATTGCTGTACTCAAGAAACTCCCAAATCTCCTAAATAACTTTAATTTTCTTTGCAACCACTACGACAACGAACGAGGAATTGGTCAAAATTTAAACCCTTGTCATTGACATTGGTATTTACTGCCTCCAACTGTATATTTTGCCAAAATTATCCTTTTTTCAGGGAATTTCTGAATTGGTTTAATGTGGAATACATTGTAGTTGAAATAAATTGCATTTTGACGGAGACATTATTGACTTTACTACGCTAGGTACACCGTGGCCAGAAACAATTTCTCTAAGCTCAGCACAGACTACTATGCTAAGTACTTGCTTAAGATTAAATCTTTTCTCATCAGAAACCCGAAGTGTTCTTATCAATCCATCAATTCTAAGAGGAAAGTCACTGCATTTTCTTCGGTTATATCTTTACATGGTTTTGA